CAGGACAGAAAAAACCAGTGCAGAACATTCTTCAGCACATATTTGAATTTACAGTTCTCATGCTGAGAGTTCTCTCAAATTGGCTGTTTTTTAGTATTCCCAATGTACATTAAAAAATGTTCTAAGATGGCGGCGCCTGGATCGGCTGCAGCTGCATTGGCTCTCAAAGGTGAAACGTTTTGGGAGGGATATTAAGGGATATGGGTCACATGATCAGGAAGATTTTAATGTTTTGGAGCAATGTGGTGGGACTAAGGTAACATATGACATATGACTGACAATCTTTGCTGACATGGCGAGTTTCTAGCTGTTTCGGAACTGTTGGTGAGACCGTTAAAAGTCTTTGGCGCTGTTTGAAATTGTTCTGCCGGCAGCAAGATCTGACTGCTGGCCCAGCGACAGATTCTATTGCTAATAAGGGCTGTTTCCAAAAGAGGCAGAGGAAGAGAGGTCCCGGAGCTTAGGGAACAAAGGAACTGGATGAGGCTGTCGGCAGGCCCAGAGGATGGGAGAGAGGCTTTTGAAGGAGTTGGTGGCGGTGGCAGCGTTCTCCAGGGGTGAAAAAGAGTGAGGCCAGTCTAAGGAAAAGGTGGAAGAGACAAGATCAGAAAAAGGAAAGGAGGCGAGGTTGTCCTGTTGCCATCGTTCGCTCCCTAGAGACTAAAATGGAAGATCTGTAACTTGAGCTGGCCATGAACAAGGAGTGTATATTGGAAGTGGTGACCCTTTGAGAGCTGTATGCAACGAAATTTTTATTTTGATGTATGCCAATTGGTGTACATTCAAAGTGACAATAAAGTTGTTGTTGTTGTTATAAAAATAGGTACTTGTATACTTACTGTGTTTTTCTGAGATACCATGTCCTGAAAAACAAAACAGGCAATCTTAAATAAATATATAAGTACTGCCTTTAAAAAACAATGATGCTATTGGTTTGAAGACTGAAAAGCTTTAAATATGTGAATTTTACTATTTGATAAAAGTATTGCTGGCTTTTAAATGAGGTAAGAACTCAGCACAGCCATTTGGCTTAAATGCAGACTAAGTTTAATTCTTAAATTAAGCTAATAATCTTTTGCTTCATGCAGTATCTGCTTACAAAACACCCAACCGCTCTTCAGCTCCAGGCTTTCATTTGAGTACAGAAATAATGCAGTAATACAATAACTCAGAAATGGGATTTTTTAAAAAAAAAAAACAGAAGTTAACATTACCAGGGGTTTGAATATTTTTTTTGTTAATCTGATTATGACATATAAATTATACTTATCTATCATCTCCTGTATCTTTTCATCTAATCTGGAATGTTTTTACTCATAACTGTATGTCATTTTTAAAGTAAATTTTGTAAAATCTCACAAGGAGGCATATAAAATGCTTTAGCCATATACTGTATGGTGGTATTACTGTAAAGTCCCAAAAGATTGAAAAGGGACATAATAGAATGAAACAGATTTTGAAGGTTGTAATTTATTTATTAATTAATCAAATTTATATGGCCATCCACTCACAGGAAGTGACGCTGAGCAACATACAACAAATGCAATTTGTTGCAGAGATATTCCTTTCAAATTTCACCAAACCTCCTCCAAATTCACTGAATTAGCACTACACAAACTAACAAATGCAGGGATTTTTATTGGAAGATATTCTTTATACTTTCTTTGGGAGAAAAGCTAATTAAATTGTGGAAGTAGGTTTTCATGTAAAGACTAACTTTCTATATAAAAATCTGCAAATTTCATTTTTAGGGAGGACCGCTACGGTCAAAATGAATATATTGCCAAAAATGTTATTTCTGTTCCAAGTTATTCCAATAAAATTAGGGAAAACATTCTTTCAAGAATTAAATAAATTGGTCACCAAATTTATATGGCAAAGGAAAAAACCCAGGATTAAATTAAAACTCTTACAAGATATGAAAGATAAAGGGGGATTGGCGTTACCAGAGTGGGAAATATACTACCAAGCATCGAGCTTGGCTAAAAGACTGGATGGATTTGAAAAATACTAGGGTTTTAACAATAGAAGGACATGACTTGCAAGCAGGGTGGCATGCTTTCCTATGGGACGAAAAATACAAAATACACAAATACTTTCAAAGACACATAGTTAGGAATGCATTGCTACAGACTTGGGAAAAAATAAAACAAAAACATTATATAAGAATTCCAATGTGGTTATCTCCAACAGAAGCTCTGAAACACCCAAACCTACTGGATATAAATAAGATAATTAGATACAAGGAATTAGTAAATGAACAGGGAAATTTGAAAACAAAACAAGAATTGGAATAAGAGATAGGCAGAGAGATTGATTGGTGGACATTTACACAAATTCAGTCTAAATATACAGAGGACAAAAAATTATATGAAATACAAAAAGAGCCGCAAGAACAGAAATAAAATTAATTAGCAATTTATACAAATACCTATTGAAATATAAAATGGAAGACGAGGTTGTCAAAGACACAATGATTAGATGGGCAAAAAATT